AACTTCAGATAGTTCATTGTGCGGCCCTTACATCCAGACCTGACGAGCCTGGAAAGACGCTTTAAAGTTTTGAAGCCGAAGCTCGTCTGAATATTACGTATTTAAGAATTCAGTCCGTACCGCGAAGAAAACACTACACTTCACCATTACAAGGATCGACTGGTTAACGCTGTTTAAGGAAATAACCCCTTTTTACACTGAGAACAATCCGAAACCAATATATACAAAACTCAGAGTTATTAACTCTGTGAAGCAGGTGGTACATATAGTTACCACTGGATCTTAAAGGGTTAAAGTTTTGCATGAACGTTTTGAGACGTCACATAGAAATTACCACATTAAGGCCATGTTTTAGACGACTGAAGATTATCTGTAATGACGTCACCTCACGACATTTCCAGACACAGGAAACAAATAATCTCGGTCACATAATTCCCGCCGATCGTGGAAGCAGAAGGATCGTTCGTAAATCGTGTTTTGAAGGGCAAACCACAGTCGGTGGAGACCTCCCACTCTACTTAGGACGAATGAACATCGCGATGTCTCTCCGTCTCTGCGCCTAATTCTTGTTCAGAGGACAAGAGACGACGTGTACCTAGAATTAATTAATTTGGTCGGGGGACGCCATGAAGTCACTCTCTTTCAAGAACAAAAGTTAGACGGAAGATTAGAAATTAAATAAGGGCTTAAGACAATATTTCTTTTTACATCGGCGTAGCAAATCCGACTCTGGACAGAATTAGGTTGAAACATCTTCATTAATGAAACGTTTGATTTTGTAATGTCAAAAGAATTGAAGGTCTGAATGCGTGTCGCATATAAATATTCAGGTTGTCGACAAAAACATGAAGTCAGGGTCTCAGAATGTAGTTTGTCCGCGTTCCTCACTGATTACCGACTTGTCTGCTGAAGGCGAGAAGCCTGCAGAATGCCAGGTATCGATTTTACGACGCACAACAGCAGGAACAAACTGAAAGAGAGACAGGCAGGCTTCACCTCACTAAAATCACATTACGGACCGCGAAGCAAGGGGATCTGGGATCGCATCGTGTCACGCTCAAAACCTCTCGCCCCGACGGGTCAACCGAAAACCCAGGCTTACGTTAGCCGCGGTTGTGGACAAGTTTTAAAAATCGAATCTTTTAGTTAGCGTAAAACAAAGCACGCAAACATTTTAATTACTTCAAGCGCCGATTTAAAGCGACTCTCAAATGACACTTCCCTACCAAAACTTTGCGTGTATCTCTGCCATGCCCCCGCCAATTTAATTTTCTTTCCAATAACAGCTGTTTGGTGATTATTGCGAATTAAGAAGCTCCTGTCCCCCCTAATTCCACGCATTCTCAAACACGTCGAATCTGTGTTATTCCGTAAACGGTACTGACGAAGACTCACGCCCATTCGAAGCAGCAGGGAAATTTGTGGCTTTCTGGCAAGTTCCAGAGGAAGGTTTCAGAACTGCCCCTGATCTAGTCTGCCCTTAATTAACCTCTTAAGTGCAATTCTGTCTTCTCACCCCGGTCTCAGATGTCTGACTCGGCTCATCTTTAGGATGCGTCTAGTTACGGAAACAAACACGAAATTTTGAGTCAAATATTAGCCTCTATCGATTTCAATAGTTATTGGAACATAAGTCGAAGCTAACACTTTCTTTGTGTTTGAAATTTGATGAGGCTTCTCCAGAAATGCGCCACGTATCCGACGGCAACTTTATCAAAAGAGAAAGAATTCTTCGCTGGCTCTGTCCTGTGAGGATGAATGAGGTGGTAGGTTAGGTTAGGTACAGTTTTGGCTTTGTCCTGTGAGGATGAACGAGGTGGTAGGTTAGGTTAGGTACAGTTGGTACATAAATTGTGAAACTTTGCTGGACTACAAGGGACTGTACTTTCCATTAGGATGTCACCTCTTCGGGGGGGGTGGGGGCGCCCTAATTGTCACG